AAAAAAGAAAAAGAAAAAAGGAATAGAGATGCCTGGGGCCAACCCTGGACTAATTAAATCAGAGTCTGAGGGGGTTGGGCCCCCGGCAGTGACATTGTTTTCAATTCTAACACTCCACTGGGTAGAGTGGGAGGAAGAGTCTTTAAGCCCTCAGGGGAGTTTAGATCACAGAGCTCCAGCCACAAATTACGTCCAACTTGCATTTACTTACCTCATCCCAGGCCCTGCCCTGGAAGTTCTCACCTACATCATTTGTCCTCTCAATAGTAAAATGAGCCGAACATCGTCGGTCTCTCCCTTACTGATCTGGACATGGAGGCTCAGAGACGCAGAGCCTTGGTTCAGGTCAGGGGATACTAAGGGGGTGGAAGCAGGATTGGCACCCAGGCNGCAGAGCCTTGGTTCAGGTCAGGGGATACTAAGGGGGTGGAAGCAGGATTGGCACCCAGGCTTCTCAAGCCTCTGCTTTTCCCGCCTTGTCTGTGCATGAAGAACGGCAGGACTCAGTTGTCCAAGACAATGGCACCTGGACTCTTGTAGAAACAGTCATAACTGTTATAGATCGTTGACATCAGGAAAGGCAGTGCCCGGACTCCACTAGTCACTGTCTGGATAATACTTCCAAGAGGGAAGGGGATGGCTGAGATGACCTCTGGACAGGTCACAGGTCTTTTTTTGTCAATTCCATCTTCCTCCCAGCAGATTCAGGAGACTACTCGAAGCGGGTCCTGCTGCTCTCCGACAGTGAAAGTTTGGTCCCAAGCTACGAGGAACTGCACATCTGTGAAAACAAGGTCACGCCTCTCCATTTCCTTGTGGCCCAGGGCAGCGTGGAGCAGGTGAGGCTGCTGCTGGCCCACGAGGTGGATGTGGACTGCCAGACGGCCTCCGGCTACACACCCCTCCTCATTGCCACCCAAGACCAGCAGCCTGACCTCTGTGCCCTGCTCTTGGCACATGGCGCTGACGCCAACCTAGTGGACGAGGATGGCTGGGCCCCACTGCACTTTGCAGCCCAGAATGGGGACGACCACACCACCCGCCTGCTTCTCAACCATGGGGCCCACGTGGATGCCCAGGAGCATGAAGGATGGACCCCGCTCCACCTAGCCGCACAGAACAACTTTGAGAGTGTGGCACGGCTTCTGGTGTCCCGGCAAGCTGACCTCAACCTGCGTGAGGCTGAGGGCAAGACCCCCCTCCACATGGCGGCCTACTTTGGCCATGTCAGCCTGGTCAAGCTGCTGACAGGCCAGGGGGCTGAGCTTGATGCTCGTCAGAGAAACCTGAGGACACCGCTGCACCTGGCAGTGGAGCAGGGCAAAGTGAGGGCCATCCAACACCTGCTGAAGAGTGGGGCAGTCCCCGATGCCCTTGACCAGAGTGGCTACAGCCCACTGCACACCGCGGCTGCCAGGGGCAAGTACCTTATCTGCAAGATGCTGCTCAGGTATGGGGCCAGCCTGGAACTGCCCACCCAGCAAGGCTGGACGCCCCTGCACCTGGCGGCCTACAAGGGCCACCTAGAGATCATCCACCTGCTGGCTGAGAGCCACGCAGACTTGGGTGCTCTCGGAGCCATGAACTGGACCCCCCTGCACCTGGCTGCCCGCAATGGGGAGGAGGCGGTGGTGTCGGCGCTTCTGCGGTGTGGGGCAGACCCCAATGATGCCGAGCAGTCAGGCTGGACACCCCTCCACCTGGCAGTCCAGAGGGGTGCCTTCCCGAGCGTCATCAACCTCCTGGAGCACCATGCAAACGTCCATGCCCGCAACAAGGTGGGCTGGACACCTGCTCACCTGGCTGCCCTCAAGGGCAACACAGCTATCCTCAAAGTGCTGGTCAAGGCGGGTGCCCAGCTGGATGTCCAGGATGGAGTGGGCTGCACGCCCCTGCAGCTGGCCCTCCGGAGCCAACAGCAGGGCATCATGGCCTTCCTAGAGGGCAAGGAGCCCTCAGTGGCCATTCTGGGTTGTGCTGAGTTGGGAGCCCAGACAGAAGTTTAGACAACCTGGGGTCTCCTTGCCTGGAAGAAGGAGGGGTTGGCAGAATTGAACCTGGGCTTCTGGGCTTCTGATCCGCATGCCCCACCTGTCCCTAGGACCCTGAGAGGATACAGGAAACTGTTCTCCTGAGTGCTGGGGGGATAGGGAGAGGTGCCGCTGAGGTTGCAGCTGCGCAGGGTCCCCTGGTTTGGAGCTGCTTTCAGCTCTTCCTCCGAGTCATCTCCAGCAGACCCCTGGTCTCCTTCTTTACGTGGACTCAGGCCGCAAGGTGAATTCCCTCTTCAGTCCCAACACTCCTGCCACCTTCAGCCATGCCTGAGTTCACAGGAGCCATACATCCTAGGAAGCCCCCTCTAAGGCCGAGGGGGGTGTGGCGGTGAGGGGAGTGGGTTTCTCATGGCCGGGCGTTGCTTTCGTGGCCCCTCACCTCAGCCTGGGGCAGTGGAGCCAGGCATACCTGCTGTACCCCAGGGCAGGAGCTGCAAGTTCAGAGGAGATGTCTGCTCACTGTTAGAGCCTCAGCCAGCCATCTGTTGACACACTGCCTATAGCTTCCTGGTGGGCCTGGCCCCAGTTCCTGCATCTTCCTCATGGTCTCTTGGGAGTGAAGAAAGGGTGTGCTCTGACTGTGAACAAGTGATCCTCTGTGCAACAGGCAGTCCCTGGTCTCTGGCCCCACCCTGTCCAGTGTACATCCAGATTTCAAACCCTGAATCAATAAAGCTGTGCATCTGAGTGTCCCTTCTATAGATGGACTGACCTGTGGGACCAGGTTGTATACAGAAGCCAGTCTTGTTAGCATGGTGTGTGTGTGTGTGTGTGTGTGTGTGTGCGCGCGTGCGTGCGCTTTGGTGTAGTATGTGTGTGAGTTCACACATGGGGAGCAGGCTGAGGGGAGTTGAAGGAGGTGTGGAAGGAGAGGAGTGGGTTGTCTGAGCTCAGCATGGAGCTCGCAGGGCAGGGAATTCTCTCTTCAGCAGTGGCTCAGAGAGCTCGCTCCTGTGACCACACCCGAGCCACCCGTCTGCTGGCCTGGCCTGACCTGCTGGTTATGGACAAGTTGGGGCAGGGCTGGGGCCATTCGCACTAACTTTGTGTGGTGGGGCCCTGGGTCAGTGGCCAGGGCACTTCCAGGAAAGCAGCAGACCGCTGGGAGGGGTGGGGCAGGACAGGTGCCCTGGGGGTCCTATCCTGCCCTTCTCTGCCTCTCCACACTGCTGGGTAGCACTGTGATGACAGCCTCTCCAACTCAAGGGTGTTTTACAGTCACCAGAGAAAGGGAATCTGTACCAACTACTGGCCAGCTCTGCACCCCAAGCCAGTGGCAAGCCTGCCTTTGTGTGCCGCTCTCCTTGGCTGGGCATTCCAGGCTGGGCACAAGGCCACCAGTTAGCAACCTGGTATCAGCGTCAGATGAGAGAGGTGGGCAGAGAAATGTTGTTGCCCCATGTACAATCCTGCCAAGTGTGTGAGTCCTCTAGCAGAGCTAGCAGCAGTGTGTCCTCCATCCTGTGGCCTCTGGGCACTGCATCCCACCCTGCCACAGCCTCTGGCCACCATGGAAAGCTAGGTGTAAGCCTGGGGTGCAGCACTGAGCTGGGCTGTGTCCTAGGACAGTGGTTAGGAATTGACCCTGCACGTTAGCATCTCTTGGATGAGCGGCTTTGTGAGCCTGCACGTTAGCATCTCTTGGATGAGCGGCTTTTCAAATATATCAATACCTGGCCCTACCCTCGACCTATCAAACCAGAATCTTCAGGGTAGGAGAGGTGGTTCTGAAGAGCATCTGGGGCTGAGAACAACCAGCAGGGGGAATCCCATGATTTCTCTCTGTGCCCTTCCTTAGCATAACCAAGAAGACAGTCACTGGCCAGCAGCCAAGCGGTAGGAAAGGCAGGAGGCCTTTTCCTCTCCTGGTTAGCTGAGTGGGGTCTGCTGAGAATTGGGGACAAGGCCCACTCAGCAGTCTCTTCCATCCTCCTACCCTCTGCCAACCACCTGGCCCCATCTCTTTGTTCTCCTAAAGACTAAGCCTTGGGCAAAGCTTGCAGTTAAAAATGCCCCTAGCACATTTCCCAGAATGTGCCTGAGCAGGAGGGGGAAAGGGGAGAGGACGTGGGGCTGTTTGCTTCTCACACCCTGAAGTCTGAGTCTAGCTCCAAGTCTAGGATTCTATGTGAGCCAGAGGAAGGGCTACATAGTCACAGCCAGATGAGCTCGGATCAGTCAGTGGGAATGGTCAGGAGCGAACCACAGGGGGAGAGTAGAACCTGGCTTATCCTACTAGAAAGAGCTTGAGAGCAGACCTTGAAGAAAGGAGTTAGAAAGGGCAGATGATCCTTTGCATCTATTGTCCAATGAGTGGCAGGGAACCCACGGAGATGTAGACAGGACTGTCCCTGGGAATCATTTTAGCTCAGATGACCTTGAGTCCAGGCTGAGATCCTCAGACCCCTGCTTCCTCTACCCCCTTCCTCTGAGATAACAGAGGCAATGATTTCAGGCCAGCTGTGGCCACCACGGCCCCTTCATTGCCTGACATACTCTTCCCGCTTCTCGAGCCAGTCTTAGCCAGACACAGATGCACACAGCATCTACCTTGAGTCCCATTCTAACACACCTGCCTTCTAGAGGCTTCCCAGGGATGTTTAAAATTGGATTTTAATGAAGTCCTTGAAATCCCAAAGGAGAGAGTGTCTGGTTGAATTTCAAGCTCTGTTTAGGGGAGATGGGGGTGGGGGAGGATAGAAACTCTCCAATTTCCTACTGAGCATCTCCACTTGGAGGGCCATAGACCCCTTAAACTCAAAGTGTCCCAAATTTAACATCCCTTTCCCCCTCCACAAGCCTGCTCCTCACCCTTGATTCCCCATTTGAGTTGAAGGTACTCAATCTCCTAACCTAGGAGTCATTCTGGACCGGTGCTGCCTAACAGAACTTTCTGGGAGGATGGAAACCTCCTATATCTGTACTGCTCGATAGGGTAGCGACTAACCACATGTGGTATTGAGCGCTTGAGATGTGGCTAGTGCAACCAAGGGATAAAACTTCTAATTCAACAAATTAAATGTGGGCCGGCCCGGTGGCATACTGCTATAGTGCGCCGCTTGGGAAGCGCAGCGGCGCTCCCGCCGAGGGTTCGGATCCCACATACAGACCGGTTCCCGCTCACTGGCTGAGCGAGGCACGGGAGCAACACCGAGGGTTGCGATCCCGTTGCCGGTCCCGGTCCGGTACGGGCGCGACACTGAGGGTTGCGATCCGTNCCTTCAGCCATGCCTGAGTTCACAGGAGCCATACATCCTAGGAAGCCCCCTCTAAGGCCGAGGGGGGTGTGGCGGGGAGGGGGGTGGGGTTCTCATGGCCGGGGGTTGCTTTCGTGGCCCCTCACCTCAGCCTGGGGCAGTGGAGCCAGGCACACCTGCTGTACCCCAGGGCAGGAGCTGCAAGTTCAGAGGAGATGTCTGCTCACTGTTAGAGCCTCAGCCAGCCATCTGTTGACACACTGCCTATAGCTTCCTGGTGGGCCTGGCCCCAGTTCCTGCATCTTCCTCATGGTCTCTTGGGAGTGAAGAAAGGGTGTGCTCTGACTGTGAACAAGTGATCCTCTCTGCAACAGGCAGTCCCTGGTCTCTGGCCCCACCCTGTCCAGTGTACATCCAGATTTCAAACCCTGAGTCAATAAAGCTGTGCATCTGAGTGTCCCTTCTAGAGATGGACTGACCTGTGGGACCAGGTTGTATACAGAAGCCAGTCTTGTTAGCATGGTGTGTGTGTGTGTGTGTGTGTGTGTGTGTGTGTGTGTGTGTGCGCGCGCGCGCGCTTTGGTGTAATATGTGTGTGAGTTCACACATGGGGAGCAGGCTGAGGGGAGTTGAAGGAGGTGTGGAAGGAGAGGAGTGGGTTGTCTGAGCTCAGCATGGAGCTCGCAGGGCAGGGAATTCTCTCTTCAGCAGTGGCTCAGAGAGCTCGCTCCTGTGACCACACCCGAGCCACCCGTCTGCTGGCCTGGCCTGACCTGCTGGTTATGGACAAGTTGGGGCAGGGCTGGGGCCATTCGCACTAACTTTGTGTGGTGGGGCCCTGGGTCAGTGGCCAGGGCACTTCCAGGAAAGCAGAAGACCGCTGGGAGGGGTGGGGCAGGACAGGTGCCCTGGGGGTCCTATCCTGCCCTTCTCTGCCTCTCCACACTGCTGGGTAGCACTGTGATGACAGCCTCTCCAACTCAAGGGTGTTTTACAGTCACCAGAGAAAGGGAATCTGTACCAACTACTGGCCAGCTCTGCACCCCAAGCCAGTGGCAAGCCTGCCTTTGTGTGCCGCTCTCCTTGGCTGGGCATTCCAGGCTGGGCACAAGGCCACCAGTTAGCAACCTGGTATCAGCGTCAGATGAGAGAGGTGGGCAGAGAAATGTTGTTGCCCCATGTACAATCCTGCCAAGTGTGTGAGTCCTCTAGCAGAGCTAGCAGCAGTGTGTCCTCCATCCTGTGGCCTCTGGGCACTGCATCCCACCCTGCCACAGCCTCTGGCCACCATGGAAAGCTAGGTGTAAGCCTGGGGTGCAGCACTGAGCTGGGCTGTGTCCTAGGACAGTGGTTAGGAATTGAGCCTGCACGTTAGCATCTCTTGGATGAGCGGCTTTGTGAGCCTGCACGTTAGCATCTCTTGGATGAGCGGCTTTTCAAATATATCAATACCTGGCCCTTGGATGAGCGGCTTTGTGAGCCTGCACGTTAGCATCTCTTGGATGAGCGGCTTTGTGAGCCTGCACGTTAGCATCTCTTGGATGAGCGGCTTTGTGAGCCTGCACGTTAGCATCTCTTGGATGAGCGGCTTTGTGAGCCTGCACGTTAGCATCTCTTGGATGAGCGGCTTTGTGAGCCTGCACGTTAGCATCTCTTGGATGAGCGGCTTTGTGAGCCTGCACGTTAGCATCTCTTGGATGAGCGGCTTTGTGAGCCTGCACGTTAGCATCTCTTGGATGAGCGGCTTTTCAAATA